TGTTAAGGTGAGAAAAAGTTTGCACTTGGAATGGAATCAGAGATAATTGTGAAACCTTCCCTGGGGAATGAGATTCTATGGTGGTAATTGACTGATTATGAGTAATAATAAGCAAGTAACAGTTAGTTTATCATGTCTCAGGATTGGATTCAGAAGCCAGAAAATTGGAAACACCAAGAGGAAAACGATTGAGAGTAACCAAGTTGTAACCAATTGAATCAACCTAAATTTGGGTCATAAACATATGATCAATTGGTGCAAATTATATTATCAACAATCAACTGCAGCCCAAACCTTACAATTCAATTGATAACTTGCTACATCTATTATCTAATATTGAGATAATTAATTAATAACTTACTCATGTTATGATATGTGATTGATTAACTAGAATGATAATCGTGTTCTTGTAAACAACTTTTTCTTTTCCTTACAAACTAATCAACAATTTACCATGTTAATTGCTTCAAATTGCTCAATATCATAGGGATAAAAAGTGATATTTTATTTGTATTACATGTTAACTTGAGCTTTCAGGGAGGGAAAAACTGGATAAACAGTAATCAATTCAGATCAACATCTTATTCATCACCATGATGAAATTTTTTCCAACAACTCGGTATAAAAACAACATCAGAAGTTCATTAATAGAATTTCAACTTTTATCATTGAAAAAGAAGATAAAACAAACAGTTATTATTACCACCCGGTGGATATAAATTTCACAGTCCACCCTGAGTTTACTTGATACCACCTTCTGATTGTTAATAGAGGGAAAATACTACAATTGTTGATATAATTCTGAGAAATGAACTTTTCTAACATTTTGCTGAGAAAAAAACAAACGAAAAGTTTGGATCCAGTTGATTTGAATTTACATGGAATAAAAAATAAATAAATTCTAAAGGAAATGAGTCTCATTTAGATTAATTATCGGATTAAATTGTTTCAATTTCAGTTCTAATTATCATCTAACCAAAGAACATTACAAATCCCGGTGATCAAATTAGATCAATTCTCTTTAACTTTCCACCTTATTTTCTGATTCTAATATTCATTTGAATCTTTGGATAACATTCATTCAGAACTTTAATGTTCACTTACATGAATTTTTCCATAGTGATGATCAGCAAGAAAAGAAAGTCTTCCAGTCTCTTATATTATCATCATTATTATCGTTTATAATCATCATAATATTAATATTTGCTTCATTCGAGGTGAATTATTGTTCTAATATTTATTCATATGCCAAGAACTTTCTCCCATTGAGTTTACTTTCTCTCCTCATAATCATCATCATCTGATTCCCATGTAATACTGTGTGAGCTCCTGTTACTTGGCTTCTTGATATTAATAGCTTTTCACTCCCTGGTATGTTTACTCATAACAGTAATAATGATAATGATGATAAACCAGAAATGAGTAACAATCAGTAGCTAATAAAACAAAGTATTAGTTTTCGTTAATAAAACAATTAAATTGTTGATTGTAGTTTAACTTTACAAATGGAAAATCATATCCAAGGGAGATGAAAACTTTTGAACCTTATTGTTCAATTGAGGAACTAATATTTTTATCACTTGATTTTAGTATTTCATTTCTCAATCTACTAAGACAAAGAAAATGAAAATTTGTGAAAAAATTATCTCTTCAAGACTTGAAATAAGACTCGAGACAAATTCATTGATTAGATTATAAAAAGTTCTGGTCACTTGAAAGGTGAAATTGTAGCATAAAATGTATACAGGACGTTTTTTATCCACTTCGGCCATTTGACTGAATATCTCAAAAGTTAAGAGTCATATGAATGTCAAACTTGAACAGAGGACTGAACAGAATTAAAGCACTCAACTCTACGATTTTCAAGGTCATTGAGGTCCCGAAGGATTGGTTGAAAGATCATTACAAAGTATTCATGGGGAAAACATAAATGCACACGTAATACCTGTACAAGGTTTCCTTATCAACATATCAGCTATAACTCCAGTCGTTAGACAAAAATCTTTACTTAAGACACTTTACTTTAAGACTTTATAGACCAATGGCTAGAATGAGCCATAGCACTTTCAATTTTTTCTAATAGGGCATCTCTAGCTGGTCCACTTTTCCTGTCTCCCCCTCTTTTATGCGATTTGTTGATTTGAGTGGAGTGTTATTTTCGGGACATGGGGTGACATTGACACGGGAATCTCTGTGGAGTAGAGATGGCAGTGCAGTGGAAATAGCAGTGGCGTGAAAGTGAAATTATGGTTCTGTATAAATACACTTTATGCTACTTGGAATTATTGTTAATGTAAATTCACTTGTGTTGGTAAAGTTAACCAGAGAAAGACAAGAAATTTATTTAAAATGGAAAAGTAAATTCCAATTTGAGATTATCATCTGAATGATATGATTAAATATTTACATGGTGAAGATGATGAAATGAGGAGTAAACCAAATTCTTGACCATTTCAATTGAAATGTAATCTTGACCATTTTGGTGGAAAAAAAACTCAGAAAGCTAATAAAATTGATATAATTTCATTTTCCTCTCAATTCAATTCACTTAGTTTTATATCATCTAACAAGATCAGCACAATGAACAAAAAACAAGGTAAAACCACCTAACTCTTGACCACTGACCAGCATCTATTGTTACCTTTACACGAATGGATATTCAGTAAATGGTCAGAAAGACTTTGACAAAAAAATAAATTTCTTTACTCTAAAGGTGAGATCTAATTTGTTCAATGGTGAAAACAATTGGTCAACAAAAGACTTGAAGGAATTTAGAATATTAAACTAATTGAAATTCATGGAAAAAGAACTTTTTTTCTGCTGACCACAGTTCTAAATCTAAATTAGCAATTAAGGTGGACACACAAAGTTTTGGATAATTAATTTATCTCTAAATGAGAAATTTTCATGATAACTTTTAATCGATTAAATCTAATATTTAGTTTTTTTTTCATAACACGATTAATATTCAACCATTGAAATTGTCACATCGAAAGGAAGAAGAGAAAAAAGTTCTGATAGAAAAAAAAAGTTCTAATGATGAAGATAAAGTCGATGATGATAATAGCTATGAATCATCATTCAACTTCCGAAATAATTTCCTCTTCATTTCCGTTAATATTTTTACATTTAGATTCAAATGAAAAACAATTTATTTACTATTTACTCATCAGTAAGGAATCAAGAATCAGAATTGTATAAGTCAACTGAATTTATGAATAATTATCAACAAATTGTGAGTAAATTACAATTACAACTTATAGATTTGCTATTAGTTTATCAACAAAGGATTAGTTATAATCGCTAATCCGATAATTGTAATCATCTTAATCTTCAATTTGATAACTTAATCCTATTCGATGACAGTTCAATATATTATAAGTCTCAATGAGTATGAGTGTTGACCGGTTGATTTGGAAATTCAAATGAATTATTATCAATGAAAATCAAATGGAAACTGAATTTGATTCAGTTGACTTTAAGTTCATTGATTCTTTCCACCGGTGGAGCTTTTTTATTGCTCTTTATTTTTGCTATTCCTCTTAACCTGTCAGAATGTTTTCTTTGGATAATTTTAAAAATTCTCAGAATGAGAAAATATCTTGAGAATTCTCAATTCTATTCAGTTATTTTATCTCTTTTTATCTCTATCTTTTTTCTGTTATTTATTCTTTTAGTAGATGAAAAAATTATTTTATTTTCTGTTTATTTTCATTTCATCTCCAATTTTTTTTCAATGGTTTGTTACTAATATGAAAATTTTTCTCTTTCAATGTTCATCTTCATGGTAACTGTTCATGGAGATTGTTATTCAAGACAAGATTGATTGGGATTCACTTAGTTTTTAATGATTATTTTGTCTTTTCAATTTCAACTCATCTGATTGTCTCATTTGATTTCATCTTTTCACAATAAGATCACAATCAATTACCTCTCTCATATATTACATGGTAGTCTCATGAGTATTATTCATCATGAGAAACATGATGAATACAATGTAACTCATGTTAAAAAAAATTTCACCATTAAAACTCAAACAAATCAATAAGTTAGAATATTTTTATCATCAAAGATAATCAATTGATTCTCTAGTTAAAATTCAGTCATGAGAATCATTCCAGAATATTAACTGAATCTTGGAATATTATTAGAAGAAAAAAACACTTTCAATTATTTATCTTCTTTCAGATTCCCGGGAAAATAATGAAACATGAACTTTCTCATGGAGTTTCAATTACTTTAAACACCATAATCATTAATCATTAACTCGAGAAAACTTGTGTTGACCATTGGTCATCAAAAACGTTGATAGATTTCAAGAAATTTTCTGTCATTCGATCTCAGGTGAATGAAACAAATTGTTGAACTTTTCTAATCTTCATCAGATTTTGATTACATTAATAATCTAGATATCAAATAGATTCAAGGATAATGTGATTGAGATAATATTATCATCAGCATCAAATAAGTTCATTAAATGAATCAAAGATAAGTATATTGATGTATTATTGATGTTACATGATGATGATGATGATCAAATGATGATAAAATAATGTTAATGTAACCAATGAATTCATTTTATCCTGACATCATTGGTGATACTGATTAAATTAAATCCAATAAAAGTTACATCTAAAAATACATGAGTGAATTATGGACAAAGTGAATGACCAACAGGTAAATGGTCTTGATGACCACAAGATAATTAGTTGATCATAATCATCTTAATCTACTAACCATTTGGATTCCCATTAATAATTGATCATCTTTAAGGTGATAAAATGTCAACTTAATTGTTAATTTTCATGAGAAATACAATTTGATATCATGATAATGATATTTGGTTAATTGCTGTTTCATTTTGAGCAAAAAAACGACAATAATTAACAATTAATTGGTTAAAATTTAGAGGTGACATCATTACAATTTAGCAGACAATCAACAATTAGATTAGATACCAAAAACAATTAGTTTTAAATTGTTTGATTTATGGCAACTTTTTTAACATTCATTAATTGTTTGAACAGTTTTCTTTAACTCTATTAATTGGTTTAGTTAAATTGTTATGGTGACGATGATAAAACTTTTCAACAACCAAGCCAATTAAAGGTAAATAACAATTTAAACTGTAAGAAAAATCAATTGATCAAATAAATTGCTCTCTAATTGTGCTCAATCAAAATTAAACTGTAAAAAACAATCAATCAATTGTTCATGAATGATGTTGATATTAATACAAGAGAAACTCAATTAAGATGATACAATTAATGAGCTTGTTGATTACTTTGCTAATTGTTGGGATAAATTGTGATGTTAAGTGTATACGGATTATTGAATACAATTGGATATCAATTGAAAATGTGACAATCAGTAACATCCCATTAGGATTATATCCAATTTGTGCTTCATTTTACAATCAAATTAACCAAACAGGGTAAGAGTTTCAATTGAATTAATTGTGATAATCTAATTTATTTTTTTCTCTACTATCAGTTGGTCTTTCTTGACCATTTGGAGTGACCCTTCAACCCAAGTAAATGATTCATTGATTGCTTATCTTGCTGGTTACCTTGAGGGCTACATGACTGTTGATTTAATTGTAAATCATTACGATAATGCTTGGAATAGTTATTGTTCAGATGATCCAAAATTTTGCAAGAAAATATTCAAATTTTACCAGAAAAAATTATTTCAAATTAAGAGCAATTTAGATGCATTTTCTTCAAACAATTCGTATTGGTACCAAGTCTCCCTGATTCTTAATCAACTAACTGGATTAAGTGATGGAATTACTGGTAAAACAATTTACAAACCAGGAATTAACATCGATTTACATGGAAAGATATTCATTCTCAACATTCTTACCGATATTATGAGCATGGAATCTGTTTACAATCGAACTGTAATCAAAAGCGATTTAGGTCATACATCGTGTTCGGCATTGGTTAAATTAACAGTCAATGAGTTAATTGTTGGCCATGCAACTTGGTATGAACTTGGGTGCATGTTGAGAATAATTAAAAAGTACAATCTTCCCTATCGAACAGGATTTAACGATAATTCAACGATACCTGGTTCGATAATCTCAATGACTTCTTATCCTGGATTAATTTTCTCTTGCGATGATTATTATCTTATATCTTCTGGATTAGTTGTAATGGAAACAAGTTTAACTAATTACAATTCTTCAAATAATAAATTAATTGAAAAAAATGAAGGTCTATTAACATTCATCAGGACAATGGTTGCTAATCGATTGGCCAGTGATGGTCACTCATGGAGTTCAACATTTGGACAATATAATAGTGGAGCTTATAATAATCAATTTATGATAATCGATTATAATAAGTTTGATAATGTTTCATATAAACATCAGGCCGGGTTACTTTGGGTTCTGGAGCAAATGCCAGGGTTAATTGTAGCCAAAGATATGACCAAAAGATTGATTAAAAAACGATATTGGTCAAGTTATAATATTCCCTATTTCCAAGAGATTTATCAACTGGCCAATTATCAGTCAATGAGAAAACTACATGGATCATTTGCCGATTATAATACGAATCCTCGAGCTAGACAATTTAAAAGGAAACAATCACAGGTATACGATTACAAGAGTGGACTTAAACTTTTAAGGTACAACAATTATCTTAAAGATCCGGATGCTCGGTGTAATTGTGATCCACCTTATTCATCAGGAATCAGTATCGCCTCAAGGTCCGATCTTAATAATCCAAATGGTAGATATGATTTTCTTGGTGGTGGATTAGTAAATGAAGCTGCAATCGATGCCAAGGTAACATCGTACAAATTATTCAAACAACTGAAAATGTATGCAATCAGTGGGCCAACTTATCAAGATGTACCACCCTTTATTTGGTCCAATTCAACATTGAGAGACACTGTTTCTCATAAGGGACACCCTGATGTGTGGGTATTTGAACCGATATACTTTTAACTTGATTTAGAGGCAATTTAATAACAATAAAAGTATAATTTCAACTCAATCTTTGTATATGTGATAATTTTACTGTTGTTGATTGTTATTATTAATTCAGCATCTACTTTAGATCATTAAATTTGGGAGAGTTGATCAACCAAGAACATGATCAAATGAATGTCAATATTGAGACTGAAAGACATGACATCTATTGGATCATTATTGTTGTATCAATATGTTAGAGGTGAAAGGTAAACTTTTGGTTTCATTTGCTATTATTAACTAATAAGTTCTGAATGAAATTAGAAATAAGTGAAATTATTATTATATCAAGTTCTGTATTCTGACCATGATGCTTATCATGAATGGTTAATATTAAAGGGTCAAGTTTACATTCAGCTAATTTATTATTTACTCAATTTTTAGATTTATATTATTGTATTCATGAAGATTTGTTGTAGTTGAAACATTTTGACATGAAAACTTTTCTTTGGGAAATTATCATGAGTCTCAGTTGATTCCGTTTGAGTGGATTACATTGAATTTAATTTCATCCTCATCATTATGAAGTCTATGAAAATATCAATTGAATTTTTCAATGAGAAATGAAAACTTCAATTCTAACAGGAATATTGGAACAGTATTCCAATGAAATATTGACTTAAATCACTTGAATCAGTTATCAGATAATCATGATGATCAACTGGTAATACTTTATTACCAGATAATTTCATCAAGTTGATTGGTTTACCTGATTCAAAGTGTTGATAAAATTTCATGACAGTTTTTTATTTTTTATTCATTCATTTTCCCAGGTAGTTTATATAAGGAATCATGTAGACTCAGGGTAATATCAGAATTCATTTGAGAGACAAATCTGTCTGAGTTTTTATATTTTTTTTCTTTACTTCATTTCAAGAGGTACGAGAAGACATAAGAAGTTCAATTGAATTCAATTTCACAGGGAAAATTGTTCAACTTAAGCTCACTCATCAAGCTTACTTATCCACTTCAATATAATATCAAAAGACAACGTGATTCCAAGACTCAACAATCAAATCATGTTGATAATGATGCTAATCATGAATCAGTATCATGATGAAAACAAAACTTATTTTCTTGGTATCATGAAATCAGAGTAAGTGGATGAGGAAAAAAAATTGTTTCATCTTCTGAATGGATAATGATGATTTTTTTTCCTCTCCCTGATTGTCATTACAAGTTGAATCTTTTTCAGAACTTTTTTGCTCTCTCTCTCTCTCTCTCGACCAGGTAATATCTTCAACTTGTATACTTATATGTATATATTATTTTCAGAGCATTATTATCATGAGATGTAATAAAATAATAATAAGTTGTGAGTAATAAATCAAAAGGCTAATCTTGGATTCAGCATTTTGAGTGCAAAAACAGCATAGAGACAGCAAAACAAAAGGATTGATACTTTTGCGCTGTTGACTGCTTAGTTTTTCAAGTTACTTTGGTCATCTCATGAGATGACCAAAGGATCATTATAATGATGTTAATCCTCATGAGAATAATTTGGAAATGATTAATCGCAAGAGTTGGAATTGAAATGTCCGCATGGTATTCATGTGTTTCTGTGTGTGTGTGTGTATCTAGAGTTATGAGTCTATTACTTAAAGATATTAAATGTATCAACAAGAGAAAGAGAAATAATAAAATGATGATACCAATGACCATGTAATTTATTTCGACATCTCAATGGCCTTTGGTTAGTCAAAGATGATAATCAGGAATAACCATGGAATCATATTCAGAATTGTCATCTCTGATTCGTCTATATTTAGATATTAGTTTCTCTCATTGTTGTTTTATGGAGGAAAATATTTACTACTGATTTCAGACATTGATTTAAAATTGCAACTCAACTTTTTCCTTTCGTAATTCATAAAATTAATGATCAGATTAGTTGGTCATCGTTTATCATCTGATCCATGATAATGATGATACTGATGGGGGTTGGGAGTATATATTATCTCATCATGAAATATAACAGATTGAGAAGATAGAGAGAGAGAGAGAGAGACGAAGAGTGTGTATTTGTGTGGAGTTGAGTGAGAACATTGAATTTGAAGGTTAGATAAATCAACAGAGTTCAGTTTATGGTTGAAACGAAAACTTTTCCCCCTGATTTCATATTTCCAGTCTATTGAATATAATGGAGGTGGTGGGAAGTTGGCCCACTGTTGGGGTGTCTCATTTATTTCACAAGATTTCCCCTGTGATTTAATGTTGTCTTTTGATAAGAATTGTTATGATAGTAGGAAAAAAAACCTCGAAGTTTTTTGTTGTTCGAAATGTTTTTTTTTCTTCTTTTTTCTTTGGTTGAAATTGAGAGACACATAGAAGATTATGGTTACTTTATGGTGGAAGGGGAAAAGTGGTTGATTGGTGACTTACTGTAATAAATGATAAACGACAGCCTTTTTGCCTCGGGGTCTTTCGAGGAAATTGTGAATTAAAATTTGAGTTCGACGATATCTTGGATCTCGTTGTTTTATCGATCGAGGTACAATTGGTTTACCCAATAGACTTAGACGAGGTTGTTGAAGTCGACGACAAGAGGCTGCTGAAAGTGATGTTGGTGATCGGGATCTTCGACGGGTGAACAGTTTCATTAGGTCACTTCCTCTTCGACCTTCATCTGAATTTCCATGAGATGTTGGTGAGGTTAAACCAAAGTGATGGTGATGTTGTTGATATCGAGAGCGAGGATTTTGATTATAAGAAGATGAACTTGAACTGCTCGAGGTGGAACTTGATATAAGGACACTTAATCGGGATTCTCGATGGTGATTATTAGTTATTGGTCCAAAACTGGTCGAGGCTCGACGTTCATCAACTATATTACTAAATTCAACACGAGCTTTTTTCTTACGATCAACAGGAGATGAGGCACTTTTCATGATCCCATAAATCCCTTTTCTACCTTCACCACCACCACCACCACTACCTATGGTAGAGGCGATTACACCACCATTATCATTACCAATTCCTTGACCACCACCATTGATCTCATGACAAGAATCACTTTTTACATTATCTTCTTGATCCTCCCTTTCACCCACTTTCCGTCTCTTACCCTGATCATGATTATTTGTTTCCATCTGAGAAACACCATGAATCTCATTTGATTCATTGAAAGTTAATGATGTTTCACATAACAATTGAGTTGGTCTTCGAGCTGATGATGGACTTAAGATACTTTTTAATGGAGGCTGACCAGTGTTTTGATTAAGCCTTTTATCCTTCATGGAACCACCATGATCACCACTCTCCTTGTCACCATCATCTCCTCCTGTGGGTGGACACAAGGAATCAGATGATGATGAATAAATAACTTGAATAGCTTCTGGTGATGATTGTGATGATGATGATGAAGTTGATGATGGTGTTATTTGCTTATTAGTCACACTGGTAACATACTGATTAATTGTTGTTACTGGTGTTGATGATGATGTTGATGATAAAGGTGTGGAGGAAGATGATGAAGGTGATGAAGGTGAAGATGAGGTTAATGTTGACACTGAGGGAGATGAAGCAACTACCGAGGTTGTTGTAATTACTGTTGATGCAGAGGATGTTATTGATGAAGGATTACTAATCATAATAGATAGACAATTAATCAATCTACTAATCACTATTACACTAATCTGACTACCTTTTAAAATGATAAAACAATCATCTGATTAATATAATCAAGGTTAACTATTTAACAGAGATTTTAAAATTATCACTAATATCAAAAAAAAACTATTATCACATTGAGACAAATAGAGATGGTAATTGATGAATTGTTACAATGAAACTTAATTGCTGTTGATATATTAAAAGAAACAATTGTAATTTGATTATCAGATTATCATTTAATCAATAACAAAATATCAAATGAGGTAATAATTAGATTAACACATGGAAATAGAAAAGGGGAAAAAAGTTATTCTAATCCAAAAGTTTAACCCATTGTAGATAATCCCGAGTGTGAATCCTTTTCGTTTGAAATGAGAATCGTTAATCAATTGGTTACATATTAATTGTGATGATTATCAAGGATATCAAGTCAATCTACAATTGAATGTTGATTCACAATCAGTAAGGAAAATTAAGGAATGATATTGAATGAAACCTTTATGATGATGATGGGAAAAAATCTATGATGATGAATGAGGAGATGAACTTTTTTTGTTGTTTTCTCGAATCAACTATTTGTTCACTTGCTTTTATTGGATGACGATTGATGAAGATGAAGATGATGATGAGGATGAGGATATACTTGAACACATTGAACACACTCTCTCACTTGCAAACAAATAGAGCTAACAAATGGTAAAAGTTTATTGTTGTTTTTCATGACACCATGAAACTGGAAGACGATGGGAAGATAATGTTATCATGCTTAATCGGAAGATGATGATGAAAATTATGATAGAAAAGTTGATACTTAAAGGTAAGTCTTTGTGAGGACAATTAGTTTGATTAATGTCAATACGTGTTAGGGGAATGAAAGTATTACACTAAAAGTGAAAATGATTCCAAATGAAAGGAAGAGTTTTTTTCTTTCTCTATGAGTTAGTGAGTTTTACTCAATAATAATCAAACTAAAGCAACTCTCATCTTCATCCTCATCCTCTCTCTCTCTCTAACTCTCGCTCTCTCTTTCAATGTGATCCCTTTGATCTTGCGTTCTTTATATCTGTCTGCTCATGATAATAATTATTATGGAATCACCATGAAAAAACTAACTTCTTATTCAGGGTAAACAGTTCTGGTTTGAAACTCACGAGTAACTAACAATTTCCTTGTTTATCTTATTTTGATTGAAACTTGTCTATTGTAATGATGATGATGATGATGATAATAATGAAAAGGAGCTGGATGATAAGAGAGAGAGGGAGAGAGAGAGATAAAAGACTCGAAAGGTGAACCCACAGGGAACAATTTTAACTGTTCAATGGCTTGTACTATGGGAATGTTAGTTTCAATTGGAATTTTTTTTTCTTCAGTACAATTCCCACTCGGCATTAAACTTCTTACTTGACAATTAGCTGGAATTATATGAGTTCGAGTTACAAGATGATTAGAAAAAGTTGTGTACAGATTCAAGAACTAGCAGATAAAGTTTCAAAGATGAAGATTCTAATCAATTGGAAAACTTTATCTTCGAGCTACAGGTAAAGTACATACAATCGATCTGTTTGTAAATTTAAACTTTTTCTTTTTCTTTTTCTCTTAGAATTTGCATTAGAACTTTTTTTTCATTCTCTTCAAGAAAATGAAATATTTAACTTATCATGAATTCTCATTTCGATTTACAGATTCTTATCTCAAGTTAGAGAATTAATTTAATATTAATGGTTAAAAGTTATCAATAGGGAGAAAATTTGATTGTGACAGATAGAATCATTGAAATTTATATGATTCTCATCAAATAATTTTTATCATGATAATTCAGGATAATTTAAATATAGAATTCAGATAATTTTCCTGTGAATATGATTAGTTTTACTATCATGAATTTGATTGAAACTCTCATTTGATTTTGAGATAAAAGAGAAGAGAAAAAAGTTCTCTATCTATTATTTTTCATGAAATTCATGATAATTTGAAATCCTCGTCATGAATTAAAGCTCATGAAACAACTTTTTTTTAACTTTATGATTTTTCATGGGAATATCTCTGAAAAGTTCAATATTTGTTACAAAAACAAGAAAACAAGGTAACAAACACTAGGAATCAATTTTCTCCCCTGACAATAATCGGATCAGAATTTATTTCCATCACTAACTCTCAAGATATTTATCTGTCAAAACTTTTGTTTAGAACTTTTTTTTTCTTCTTTTCTATTTCCATAAAACTAAATGACAAAATACCTGATAACATACTAAGTGTCATGCTAATTCCTAAATAGTCATGATAATATTCAACTTGACAGTTTATAATAATGTCAATGACAAAATTGAAAGTGAAAAGAATAGATAAAAAGAGGTGAGAAAAAAAATCATCGAATATTGAGTTCTATTAATAATAAGGTTCTAATATTTAGTTTATCTCAAAGTTTCGAGATTTTTATCCCGCTTCTTGTGGACATGATAATTTTCGTTATGTTTACAAATAGATCAGAGATATAAGTTACAAATTTCATTAAGAGAAGGTAAAGTTCATGATAATAGTCAATATATATTATGAATCTATTGATAAACCAGATCACGTTTTGATTGTCAGGGTGAAAGGATTGGTCAATATCATTTTGCACGAAAGTTCAACTCTCGATAGCATTTGAATAAATTTACAGTGAAAATCTCTGCATAAAATGTGATTTACCGATTAGATTATTATCATGATTAGGAGATAAAGGAAATTTATCTCATGATTAATTATGATGAACATTTTGTTTTAAGCAAAGTTACTGATAATTAATATGCAGCAATCAAATTTCCTGTGAATTTGTGCCTTTCACTGAGGATTATTATTAATCAACATAAATAATCGCCGACAATTAAACAAAAAATATCTGATCGAACTCACGATCTTTAGCAAGTATACAAATAAACTCATAAAATATTATTCACCACCGGAACGATAATAATAAAAGTGGAATTGCTAGTTCTATTGATCATTTTTAGAGAATGTGAATTCAAAGGAAACACCCATGATATTGATACCAGAATTATGATCAGTCGTTTTGATTGATTGAATGTTAATGATTGTTATTGATGTTACTATTGCTCAACCAGATCAATCATTTCGGGCTTTAAGTTGTTTGCTAGAGTATTTTATTCAATTAGCATTTTCAACAAGATGAGTAAAGGGTGAGAAAGATTCAGACTCTGAATTGTTTTTTTACCCTTGTAATTTCTTGGTGGTGATTATATTACCATAGGAAATGAATAGTTGTTCCCATTAATGTATCAAAATCGCATAAACAAAGTTCATCTAGAAGACAGATTATCAAGTTTTTCTTTATTCAGTGAATGTTTATTGAAGAAGTAAAAATTTGAGACCGTTTGAAATTAGGTCAACTTCTGATCAGATGATAGTTTTGAATCTTCAGAGATTTGAATTGTTATCTTGATGATGGATTAATAATTTTTCCAAAAATTATATTGTATCTTGATCGCTTTTAATAACTACTCAAGTTGATCTTAGAAAGTTTCGATATCTTTTGTAAAAAAGTTTACACCTCGATAAGTTTATATCATAAACAATATTCATGGATCGTTCCATTTCCAACCGTGAAACTATTCCAATGAGCTTTTAGACTAAGCCTGATTATTACCTTGACTACAGTCTAAGACTTTCAATATGAATAATACACTATTATTATTATCATTAATATTTTCTAGATTTTTGTTGTAGAAGCTGAACTTAAATCTTGCAAAACCCTTTCAAGCTGATATTATCAATATCCATTTTTGAGATGGATTTGAGTTTGTACGAGATGTACAGTCATCTGACTGTTTTCGACCCCTCTCCTTATTATCTCATTTAAATCTGATTTGTTAATTATTTAAATTTCGCTCTCAACTGCCATTTAGAATAGAATATAAACAAAATTCTATTGTCTTAACTTCACTTTCTCTCACCCAATAACCTTGAAATGAAATGCAAAAATGATGCAATAAAAATAAGTATAAAAAACACTAGTATTTATTAGATGATCATAAGTATAAAAATTTGGGAAAATCTAGTTGTGTTATCTGCCATTTAGAGTGGTTCAAAAGCTAATTGAATCATTGATATTGTGAAAAGTGATCATTTCCCATTGTAGAAGAGCGAATGGGTGCATAGTAAAATAAATGGAATTTTCTGAATGAACATGATTATCAATCTGCTACAAAGTTTAAAAATTAATTTAAATTGTCAAACCAAAGTGTGAAAAACGTACGGCTAATCTGTATGTTTGACTACAAATGAAACAAGTTTGAACAAAAAGAAACTAGTGAAGTTTAATTTTATGAAAAAACAAAAGCACGCAATTTTTCAAATTAAAATTGTAAAAGAAGCTCATAATATTTTCCCTACTTCCGCTTCTGGCTCACCCAGAAGCGGAGTTTTATATACTACAGATGAATCATTTTTCAAAATTATTCAAAAAATTTAAATTATTTCAAATGACCGTCGATTGAAACATGAACTAAAAAACTAATAGGAATAAAAAAATCTCAAAAAATGACTGAATATGTTAGCATATTTTCTTCGTTATCGTTGAAAATTGGGTGAGTGTACAGTTTTTTACTACTGTTTTCGGTTATCTCTTTCTGCTTCTTCTTGTCACTGTTTCTCTTTAATAAATTTCGACTTCATTTTGCCTTTTTAGTTTAGAAAAGGATAATTGTCAAACAGTTAATGACCAATTCAAATAGTAATAAATTTCAAACATGATGTTGATAAATTGACACGCGTTTGAAGAGAACTGTTTCTTTAGCTCATTAAGAAAAATAAGAATGTCATCTGGTCAAGAAATGGCTTAAGATGAAAATTATATGTATCTTTCGAGACTAACTTTGTTTCATCTTCACCAAGACCATTTGTATGCTAACTCTTTATTCATAAACATCAGTTTGTTTCAACAAGTGTCTTTTCTACTACTATTTTGATTAATAATCATGAAAATGTCAAAAAATAACAGGTAAGCTATTTGTGCTGGTTGAAACTCCATTGTTTTTAATCTTCCTATCATTCACTTCCTCAGGTTTGCATTTGGAGCGAGGACCTTGACTAGAAAATTACATCTAGTTTTTGCTTCTCTTTCATCAAACTCCAATGGAAAAAATATTCTCACTAAAGAGGAGATTGAATCATTGCAGTGCATCTTAATTCAGTGTCACAATGTTCTTTTAATCAAAAAATCCAAAATAGAAGTTGGAACCAACACCATTACCCTCCAGTGATTTGTGTTTTTATGTGAACCAATAATTGTGATCAATTAGAAATTAATCATTATTGATTAATAGTTCAAATCAATCAAATGAATTAATTATTCTCGGTCTGGTGATTTTCGCGCTCTTATTGTCCCAGACTAGGCAGTTTTATTACTACTCTTCTCCTTGTCCTGCGCTTTCATTTGTTGCATTTCCGTTGTATCTTGACGATGTCTTTTCATGTAGAAGTAGTTAGCTAAAGACCATCTCTGGACCAAAGCGTTCATTCTGCACCAAACTTTCTGAAAATTCTGAACCATAAATTTCCACTCCGGACCAAAATTTTCGGCGCGAAATTCAAATTTTTTTTAATGTGCGGACATCAATATCAACATTCAGTATGAGTATTTTCGAAGATAATTTTGGCGGGAAATTCAAATTTGTAAAACAGTATAAAAGAGGATGAGCTGACGATAGTCAGCTCATTCGATACGATGAAACATAACATGATTTTACAAATCATCATTTTCATAATTCTAACAGTCATTTTACTACTAATATTCCGTGCTCTATTTTTTGATAATATCAAATATGACCAAATCATTCTGGCCTGACTATCGGATCGATAATATAGTTTCAATATGGTCAATTGGACCAATAGACATCAAAGTTGATAATAAAAATCGAAAGAAAAATTCAATG